TAGAAGTACTTATAGTACCTTCCTACTGGTAGGATTGGCTTAATGTCTACTCAAATTTCCACCTGTAGAATGATTAACAAATTCATTTCATGTAAATGATGAATCCTAAAAGTTATCTTTGGTTAGCTTTAATAAAGGCTTGACACCATAAAGAAACAAGTATGAGTTATTTACTGTCCCTCTATAATAATTCAGATCAACCGGAAATGAAAGGACCAATTCTTGGAATTGAAGTTTTAGAGGGCACTCTCTTCACATGGTTTTCATTGTAGTTTTTCTCTTCATCCAATTCTTGTGCAATGCTATCAGCTGTGCCATCCTTTCTGTATCCTAATATGAGACTCCACACTGCTGGTGGAGTAATTGGACGGAGTAATACAAGCTTGGAAGGTGCTATTTTTTGGAAACACCACTTGAGGCTCTCTCTTTATTAACATCTCTGTGATTACTTGACTTCTAACACTTGTGCCAGATACAGAATGTACAGGACTTCTCATGGGGCTCACTTCAACACTCTTGTCAGGAGAAAACCCTGGAGACTCACCATAGTCACTTGGTGTTTTACTTATCTGTTGGCAATGAGTGATTGGTTTGGGGGTTGTAATTCGTAGAAATTCCCTTTCTTCAAATGCTGGCTTTCTTGTAACTTTTTTTTCATACTATATATGTAGCATAAAATGTAGAAAAGAAAATGTTACAATAAATTTTTAGAAATTTTTAGTCCAGGCTTTGGGTTTTTTAAGGGTGGATATTGTTATCCAACACATCAATAACTATCCAGTGGATAACTGTTATAAAACCAACTATACACTGTTATAACTTGAATTGAAGATCATCGATATTCACCTGTTGCACAACTGTGATACTCTGATACAGCTTGTTGATGATACAGTAAACAGAGTTACCCCAGTATGTTTCATAAACATTAAATCCACATATTTATTGCAGATGAAAGTTTTGTGCTATTGTTTGCTTTCCTTTACCAACTAAATCCAGGAAGCGCCTACCCTCCGATGTGAAACAACTCTTATCAACTCTTACCATAATCTGTTAATTACATAGAAATGTCAGATTGAGTTAGAAGTGTTGTTCCGCCAGTGTAGCTAAAATTTCCACGTAATTCACAATTTCCATGAAGTGAGTTAATTTTACTGTGGTGTTAATCTTAGAACACGTCCACTTATGAGCCTACGAGTTAAATTATTCAGGTTTAAAGATGACATGAAAATCAAAATGAAAACGTTATCTTCCATAAAACCAGAAATATTGCTCAGTTTTTCAATGAAATTGTAATGTTGGTCTTTTAAAAAGAAAAAAACTCAATGATCAAGGCTTATACTTACAGATATGTCTGAGTAGCTTTTGTTACATCGTGTCGAAGGCTTCAAATGAACGCCTAAAGGTCTAGTCTGTAAAACAGAAAAAAGTAAACATCAACGACTACTGAAACAACGACAGCAAGGGGTGAGAACGCAAATGAGCAAAACACGGAAAAGTACTCTACAATTAATGGCTTACCTTGGATTTATTTGGGCGGCCGGCTTTTGGCACAATGCGAGGAGATTCAGTAGAACAGTCAACTTTGAGTTGAACTTTTTTCAGTTTCCCCTTGTTAGATTCCGTTTCAGGGGCAGTGCCGTTATCTTTTTCCCCGCAATCCAGACCAGAAGTGGTCACGATATTTTCTGTACGCGCCTGGGGTCTGCTTTGAAATTCCAGATTCGTCACAAATGTTCTTTGTTTTCGTTGGTCCGGTTTTTTCTCCGCCGTTGACGCTGTCTTTCGGCTCTTTTTCGAGTCATTTTGTTCAGGCAAGGTTCTTGGGCAAGGTCCAACTTTCAAGACACCGTTGTCACAAGTACTTTTCTTGTTAGAGATGCAAAATCTGTAAAAGGCGAAGGAAGACTTTGGGGTGGTTTTGCTTTTCACTGCGTGGGGTTTTCTCGGTGTTTTGTTCACAGTATTAATACTGTTTTCCCACAACCGCCATTGTACGTGTCTTCGTATATTGACGTTAGTGATTTGTTCCCGATAACTCTTCATATAGTGATCAGTATATTTTGAATGGTAAAACTTGAATTCAGTGTACGGAGAATTCGTGTTTCTATCCAACCTTCCGCCATCTTGAAAGTTGTTATTGTTGATAGGTGATTGTTCAGGTGCAAACGGAGAACTTTTAGCCTTTACGTCTTTCGCTCCACTTTCCCGCTCAACACATGTACAGCTATTCAGTTCGCTTTTATCCGGCTCCTTGAAATTACTACAACAGCGTGCTGGTGTGAAAAACTGCGGATATTTTCGGAAAACTGCAGCCTTGTTCGTTCCAAGAGCATCTGAACTTTGTGGATTCAGTTGATAACCTCCTTTGTGTTGCTTGGGTGATACACAAACCTGCCATGCCGCAAGAGGTGTCTTAGAAGTTGGAAAACGTGTATTATCATCTTCAATGACTAGCATTTTGCACACAAGGCTGCTTAGATCCTTCCCGCTGTCTTGTGAAACTGCTTTCGTTTTCGTGTTTTTTCCGTGTGATGTCCAACATTGCTCGCTGATCATGCAAAGCTCGTCAACAACCCTTGATTCAACACGTTCCTTATAAGCACAAGGAATTGATTCAAGACTCATTGCTAGGGACGCCGTGTATTATCATGGATAGTAGAAGACTTTACTATCCATGGTATTATTCACCAACGTGGCTTTGACAACAAAAGTGCGTAACTCTTGAAAACTTTCTTTTTCAATGACGTTGGAAAGAGCCATCCAGATGCACGCGCGCTTTTCGTTTGTGATTTTGGCGGGAACTGCAAAGCTTTGATGAAAAATTAAAATCGTATTTGTCAGTATTTGTCATGTTTGTGGGGTGTCGCGCAGTTCCTGGTTTTTCGGCATTGTTCAAAAAATAGTGTTAGTCTGGTGGTAATTCGGTCATTGTAAAACGAAGACCACAGACTGCTGACTGCAGCCTGTACGACCGGGGGTGAAATGCAGACTGAGGGTAAAATGCACACTGCAGACCAGGGGTAAAACGCAGACTGCAGACTGAAGAATTTTTAACTGAAGCGTTATTTTGGCTAACGTGAGTAATATTCAGGCTAACCCGAAAAATATTCAGTCTAACCGGAGTGATATTCAGGTTAACTGGAGTGCATATTCTCACTGCGATTAACCTGAATAACTCTGTTTACGGTCAGCACTCAATAACGGGAAAAACACGATATATAGTCTGTAGTCTGCACTTTACCTGGTTTGCGGGCTGCATTTTACCTCCGGTCCAGAGTCTGCAGTTCGCAGTCTACGTTTTACACTAGCCTTCAACAGTTGTAGATCAGTTCATTACCGGCTGAGGGCTGAGCATGCACCGCAGCATATCGTGCCGATCGGTCAATGGTTTTCATTCTTACGGAGGTATCGAATTTCTTAGAGTCAAATATATAGCAACACTGATTAAGACACTTCGAAAAACAGAACCCCTATCGGTCGCCACCATGTAGCTGAATAGGGACCTGGATGAAGATTGGGGAGCTGAATTAATAAGCTTAAAGTTCTCAACGAAATTTGGATTGCCATTTATCANTTCAACAGTTGTAGATCAGTTCATTACCGGCTGAGGGCTGAGCATGCACTCAGCATATCGTGCCGATCGGTCAATGGTTTTCATTCTTACGGAGGTATCGAATTTCTTAGAGTCAAATACTATATAGCAGCACTGATTAAGACACTTCGAGAAAACAGAACCCCTATCGGTCGCCATCATGTAGCTGAATAGGGACCTGAATGAAGATTGGGGAGCTGGATTAATAAGTTTAAAGTTCTCAACGAAATTTGGATTGCCATTTATCAACTATTCGCGACAGTGCCTTTCACGATCACGCTCGCTGCATGAATAAGATGTTGAGAAAAGCGACTGTCACAGTGCTTGAGTGAGTGAGAAGAGTAAAAGGATTGGGGAAGAGAGGATGAGGAAATGAGAAGCGTGTAGAAGCAAGCAAGAAAGAGAGACAACATGTTGTTGCTGCCAACAGCCAGAGGATTCTTACACGAACTGGGCTGAAATGATATGCAGAGCTCTTATCTTCTTACTTATACTCGCTTAGTAAGGGACTGGTACGAATACCTAATTGAAGAATATTCCTTGCGCAGAAAGGTGTTATGGTTGTCGAAATACTGAGAGGACAACTCAACGAGTACAGTCCAACCTCCTATAATTAGAGACACACTCGGAACCAGAGAAGTGTCCGCTTAAGAGAGGTGTCTGCTTTAGGGAGGTTAAAAATCCAGCGTGTGTTTTTTGCTGGGTCCATTACTAAAAATCTGCGGGTGTCCGTTAGCGGAGGTTCGACTGCGTAAAAAAAAGGATGTAAAAAAAAAATTACCGAAAATTTAATTTCTTTTGATGTTGGTCAAATGAAGAGCTCTGCTTGTTTTACTTCAAAGGGACTTCAAAGATTGGAATAATTAAGATAGCGATTTAAGAAACTCGTGTACCATATCCGATTTTAAATGTAAATTTTTGGAATCATTCTCAGTTATGTAACTTCTTTTTCTTCCTGCATTATTTTAGTTTTAGATCGTATTTTATTCCTTTATTTATGTGACTAACGATATATTTAGAACAGGACCTCACTGTATATTACCGGTAGGTGAGAGAGCTTTCATTAATAAATATTATTACTATTACTATTGTAAAAGGAGAACTGATTGTTCCAGGGACGGACAACCTTGAAAAGAGAAGATTAAAACATTGTAGACGATTGATCATAAAACTATTATTTATTCAAAGTAACGGGATAAAATCATTTAGAGGGAGGCTTGTCATGTTCAGAAAAACAACGCGAGAAGAGTGTTGAAAAATAAATACTGAGATAAATAAAATAAAATAAATAAATTAGTAAATAAATACATTCTGAAAAGGAAGAGGTTTCTCCAAGTGTTGTTTAAGTTGACATTTTTGCTATCCTCTCATGATCGGCTGTGCTAATTCAGCAACTCGATCTGAACACTTCGCCTTTTGAGCGGCTTTCTTGACCTCAAATGCATCAGGGTTCGGTAAGTTCGTGGCTATTTCTCTTTTAATCGGTGAAGCCAGATCGTCAATTCTCTTAGATGGCTTGGCTTTCAATGCGGCTTTCGAGACTTCCCATACTTGGATCTTGTCCGGCGTGAACCCTAAAGGAACACCCTTCGCGTGGGACAGTTCCTGCACTCTCTGTGAGGCCCGTGACGAAAGCGCACCTTTCTTGATTGTCCACTCACGTCCCTCAATGTTTAGCCTCGTTTTCGGCGTACAAAGAGTCTCAACTCGAGGTGAAGCGACGGCCTTCTGTGCCGCCCGAGACACAGACGTCTGAACTGGCCGACAAGGCTCATATTCCGAGTGAAACTTCTTGGGCTGAGAGAGCTGTAGAAGGCGGTCATTTGTTGCTGCTCTCATGGCGGCATTGCTCACGTACCACACAGGGGACGAGCGACCGATGGTATAATCACGGAACACATTGTGTTGTTTCCTTTAAATTTATGGAAAAATGAAACGGTAAGTTCAGTTTACTTGCAATTTTGTACCAGTGAGGTTTACAATCAGAATTGGGGAAAGACTTGAAATAGTAATTTACCGCTGAGCAATTGCATTTGGACCAAGGTAGCATCTTTTTTTTTTTTAAGGTGTCTCGATACAATATTAAATTGCCTTAGGGAATATCACAACAAACAGAGCGATTATTAAAACGTTTATAATCTCTAATCTGACAATGTGGAGACATTCTGTCAACTAATCGAAACAGGCGAAATAAAATCACACTCACAAAATACCAAAATATTCTAGTGTTGTAAACTTCTAAAAATACCCATTTAGTTCACATGAGGATTTTAAACTGTTTTTATCAAAATTTTAATAAAATGATCTCATTTCAACTTATGTTAAAAAAAAAAAAAGAAATCAGCGCATTATTACGACGGAAAAATTAATTTGGGGCAGTCAGTAGTAGCGCCAAAAATTGCGTTCAACTTAGTTCTGATAATTGTTTACCGATGTTAAAAACTGTCTTTGTTTGTTTCTAAAGTGACCTCTTAAAAGGCAATACAGTATTTCTTAACTACTGTAGGTGACAACAAACTAATTTATAATGACAAAGGAAGATGAATCGTTAATAAAATCCCCAGAGGACCGTAAATGAAAACTTAGTCACGCTCCAAACTATTTTAATTCAAAATATGCATACAAGTCTTTGTTGTCAGAAAGCGACAACTTGCATTTTGACGTAGCAACGCGAAAGAAAGCTGCTGTAAAATCACGTCAACACCAAGATAATCTTCCATGTTGAAAAATGAGCACTTTCTTTGCCACGAAGTAAAGTAAACTCATCTATATCTGAAAGCGCGTATACTAGTTGAAACAAAGTTAGAAATGCGTTCGGTTCTTTTTCACACTATTTTTTTTGTCAGTGTCTTTCAGTTGAGTATATCCATGTTAAACGTATTTTAAAAAAGACTTACAGTGAAGGAATAATTTGGGCCACAGGTCATGAAAAACAGCGTCTATACAACGAAAATTTAGTGATATCTCAACAAAGCTTTGGTGTCTAATTAACTTTTTACGCGACTTTTTTT